TTTATAGACTTAGTGATGGTGTCCATGTGATACATAGAGAGTGATAATCGAAGTATGACATGAGTAGTAAAGTGAATATTTCAAAGGTACAAATTAGTTGGTGTGCTCTTAATGAAACCTACTTGTAACCAAATATCAACATTAAAGCAGAAAGAACTCCAAAAGTCTTATCTTACTCGTTTAAAATTACTCGATACGAAGACATCCTCATAAGGGATTTAATTCACATTTAATGACTAATATTATGTAATTTAGTATAATTTAAATTGCAAAACACTCTTTTTATCAAGTTTTATACTAAAAAATATTCACCAAAATTAAATTCTTAAGAAATGTGGAAGTGATGCTCAAATTTTGAGCTACATTTAGTTAAAAAAAAAAAGATTTTATTTAGTAATACCTTAATACTATAATAAATCAAAAATAAAAATGACAATTTTAATTGATAAACATGAAAATTTCTAGTTAGCTTAACAAGGTTTTGTATATTACAACGGGAAGGGATAAATACCAAAGGCATGGTAGGCCCCAAAAATCAAGAAGATTGCTTGTAATGGGCAACAAAATGAAGTCATGTCTTAGGTGGGTTGTGATAAAATTAAAGGCATAAATGTAGCATATACTTTTGTTTGGGTCCAACGGGCTTTATTGATCCCCTTTTTCTCCGCTTCTATTTACTTGTTTTCTATATAGCTCAATTATGATGCGTACAAACACTATTGTTGGCATCAAGTACTTCGAACAAAATATTCGGCTTCAAAGTAACATTGCACACAGGTTTGATCCTTTAATTAATTATCATTTATTATTATAGTAACTTTATAATAATTAGAATAAGAAATTAAGAAGGCAAGTGACGATCGTCCCTTCAACTGAAAATTTAATTTCTTATATCAACTTGAGAACCAAAGTACCAAGTACTGACCCTTAATTAATTTAAACCAAAGACTTTGGATTAATTTAAGGATTTGGTTTGTCCGATGTGCATATTTTTGTATTTTTACATTGCATAACTGAGATAGCTTTCTCTCCTTTGTCGTCTTCCGCTTTATCAATTCCACATCACTCTTGATTGATAATCATCAAAACTTTTTACGTAAGCACTTACCGCATCCACCAGCCTCTTTTACCTAAGTACATATCATGTTCGGGTAAATTTTAAGTTCCTAGTGTATAATGTCGTAAGATTGCTTCGGTTAAATGTGTTTGGACAAGAGTAATATCTAAAACGAACTGTATCAAGCGGCTTGATGATTACGCGTGTCATTGAAGCTGGTGAATTGTTCACTTGATTTAAAGATCGAATCTTTAGTTATTAATATTTGACAATATTAATCTATTAATTTATTAATCATTACTTTTATTAAAAAAAAAAAGAGTAATACCTAAAGCAAGTGATTCCACAAAATGGTAGAGACGCGAGATGAACCAGTGCGACGAGGCTTTTTTTTTTTTTTTTTTTTGAACAAGGCAATTTAAGAGGAAAAAGGAAAGAAATAAGTCTATTCTGTGGGTTGAGAGAAACATATATAACACGTAAATTAATTATAAATATTAGTTAATGAAATTTAAACTCTCCATCAACACAATTCAAATATTAAAATTTATCAACAAATTATTAAATTCGCAATGTCCAAGCAGCGCAACGAACCAACTTAAATTAATTAGTTTTGGGTCAATTAGGCCTGATGTTTGGATCCAATTTCTGTGGACCATATAGTGGGTAGATGTTTGATTTTATATTTCTTATAACCTAAGGAACAAGCTCGGCCCTAGAACTGAAAACATTGGTAGTAAGATTAATGGGCTCACAAAAAGGCAGTCCATTTCTAGATCCTACCTAAGCCTATTCCACATCCGTGGCAGAAGTTGGAACGTTGAAAGGACGTAAGTGACGAGTGGGCTCCTCCCGGAGCACCGCCCCTTGTTTTCCCACGGGAAATTCTAGAACTTTCCAGAACTTTCTGGTTCAGAGACAAATGGCGGAAGGAACTAAGGAAGCCTCTTACAATCTTGAGAAACAAGCTGACACCAGCTGACATTCTCTAGAACTTTCTGCTCCACCTGCATATAATATCGTTTCTCTCTCCTCTACCTGGCAAGACATTTTAAAGCCTCAAACTTTCTTAATTTTCACACCAACCTCGAAGACCAAAATCTCAAATTTCTCGAATCCCAAGTGACTACAGCTTACAAGTGGTCTGAAATCTCCGCAGAAATCGCGCCATTGTTGTTTTTGTCGAGGGAATTAAGGGAACATGGAAAGAATGGTAGTGAAAGAGGAGGAGATCACGGGCGCGGCTGCTTTGTTGCCTTCATCGTCTTCAAGTATGACGCCGCACCCAATGGAGGGGTTGCAAGAGGTGGGTCCGCCGCCGTTCCTGACCAAGACCTTCGAAATGGTGGAGGACCCGTCGACGGATTCGGTGGTATCGTGGAGTAAAGCTCGCAATAGCTTCATCGTTTGGGACTGTCACAAGTTCTCCACCACTCTGCTTCCTCGGTACTTCAAGCACAGTAATTTCTCTAGCTTCATTCGTCAGCTCAATACATATGTAAGTACCACCAACACTATATCGTCTTTCTTGCACTAGTTACTCTTAATTTTGTAGAATCACACTTGTAAGAAATCAGGGATTCTTGTTTGAATTAATGCTGATTCTGGTGCTTTTAATGTTTGCTGGTTCATTATTTCTTGGTTTCATTGTTAAAAGAACTGAGTTTTGATCTCTTTCTTGCAATTTGTCAACAGGGTTTTAGAAAGGTTGATCCAGACAGGTGGGAATTTGCAAATGAAGGCTTTCTTGGAGGGCAGAAGCCTCTACTGAAGACGATCAAGAGGAGAAGACATGTCTCACAAAACACACTGCTGCAAGGAGAAGGAGCTTGGGTTGAGTTGGGGCAATATGGACGGGAAGGTGAGCTTGAAAGATTGAAGAGAGATCGGACTCTATTAATGGCTGAGATTGTGAAGTTGAGGCAGCAGCAGCAGCATTCCAGAGAACAAGTTGTTGCAATGGAGGATAGGCTACTTAGTACTGAGAGGAGGCAGCAGCAGATGACGGAATTCCTTGCTAAAGCTATGAGTAACCCAAGTTTTATCCAGCAATTTGTGCAGAGGATTGCGCAGAGAAGAGAGCTTAGAGGGCTTGAAATAGGGAGAAAGAGGAGACTAATGGCTAGTCCTAGCATAGACAATTTGCAAGAGGCAGTTCCTGTGGAAGCACATACTGGAAAAGTCGATTTTTCAGCTCAAGAGACAGAAGAGTTGGCAACCATGCAATCTGAGATGGAAACATTCTTCTCTTCTGCGTTGGAAAATGAATCGAGCAGTAAGGAACCAATGGCGAGTTCAATGCCAGCAACAGCTAGTGGAAATTTGGATTCTGTTAACGAGACAATATGGGAGGAACTGATAAATGAAGACCTCATTGCCGGCAACCAAGAGGAGGAAATAATAGTGGTTGATCAACCTGAAGATGATGTTGATGTGGAGGATTTTGTTGTAAATCCTGTGGATTGGAGTACTGACTTGCAAGACCTTGCGGACCAAATGGGCTATCTCAGGTCAAAGTCATGACTTATTCTGTAGACTGAGTTGGTCTCTGCAACTCCATTCCCAGTTCTTAAATTGGTATGCATATGAACTCTGTGATGTCAATCATGTTGCCTGTATATATTTGGTTTGTGACTGATGGGAATACATGGGTTTCAAATATATAGCAGGAGATGATGGAAGTTGCAGTGAGGCCAACAGATGTTCCTGTTTTTCTATATCCTTTAACAATAGTCTAGTTCTCTGAACTTTTATCAGCACTTAAACCTTTTTCTAATTCTCCTACTGGTATTTGATATTTCTTGCTTCCATTGATATTGCAGATCAGCACCCCAAATGAGTCCTGCGAGGAGGCGTCACAATCCTTAAATTCTTTTTGGAGCTCTGGTTCCTCTCTCTACTGCTTGTAAATGTTAACTCTCTCAAACTTGATATGTGATTCCTCTAAAATTTTTTTCATGTAACTACATCAGATGTCATGAATATTGGATGTTATGTAATCAACCAGGCATGGAATAGATAATAATAATAATAATATTTTTTAATGAAAGAAAAGGTTTGAGTATTGTCACCTGGCTCATCTGAACATATTAACTACATACGAAGAACAATTTTATTGAAAGTATAAAGCATTTGAAAACAATGTCTGAATGTCATATATCATTGCAAAATGGATATCTTCAATCTATGGATGAGTTAAAAGGGAATCACTAGTCACATAAATTGCTTCTGAAAACAAGAATGATACTCAATGTTAGGACTGAGTTTGTGGATAAGTTTATCATCTTTGGAATAATCAGAAAGGATGGAACCTATCCTGCAAATTTCAGACAGGATAAGTTCAGATACTTGGTCTGTGAACCAGGAACAAACCCATGTTGTATGAAAAAGAATTTACTAGGGATAAAAATCTAGTTTCAATAAAGTCATTTTTTTTTTGTTTCATCTGAAGTTGTTTTGATCACGTAACCTGTCTTTTAGTGATGCACACTGTGCCGCAAAATGGGGGATTGTAAGATCCATAGAAGAAGGGAAATCCATTGGCAAGAAAGACCTTTGGAGTTTTGACTTAAAACAGAGACAAGTGAAAAAAAACCATAGCACGCAGTGTATCATAATTTTCTAGCCGTCCAAACAATAAAAAGATCTATTTCACCAATACATCATTTCTTTACTTACCGACAACGACTATGTGCCCACAAAGACGCACAGTGAGATGCCCACTTCTCCATTATTAATCCTTATTAATTCCACTTTAAATTTCTGCAAGAACCGTAGCCATTTTTTCATGTTTGATATTAGAAGCCTGCTGGGCATGGAGTGGTTCTTCACAAGTTTCCCTATGGTATCAACCATCTTCACAGTGTTGGCTTTGGTAGGGTTATTAGTGGTCTATCTGTATGGGCCCTACTGGGGGGTTAGAAGGGTCCCTGGTCCTCCAACAATCCCTTTCCTAGGCCACCTTCCCTTGATGGCAAAGTATGGTCCTGGTGTGTTTTCCATCCTTGCCAAGCAATATGGTCCTATTTTCAGGTCAGTTTCTGTAGCCTGTTTCTTCAAGAAAATCATGGATTTGTTCAGATTCTGATGATTGGGAATGATTGTTTTTGATCTGAGCAGGTTTCATATGGGAAGACAGCCACTGATAATTGTAGCAGATCCAGAGCTATGCAAAGAAGTTGGCATAAAGAAATTCAAAGACATCCCTAATAGAAGCATTCCTTCTCCTATCAAATCTTCCCCTCTTCATCAAAAGGGTCTCTTCTTCACCAGGTGCATTTGATAACTGATTAAAGATTAATTTTATTCTTAAATCCTTGCCTAGCAGCTTTAAGCTTTTAGGTTGAGTGGTTCTTGATGAGAGCTACGATTTTGATATTGCTTGCAGGGATTCGAGATGGTCCGCCATGAGAAACACTATTTTATCTGTTTACCAGCCATCCCACCTGGCCAGCCTAGTGCCCACCATGCAAACTTACATTGATTCTGCAACTCAGAACTTCCATGACGAAGAAGACATCACTTTCTCTAACCTTTCCCTCAAATTGGCAACGGATGTAATAGGCCAAGCAGCTTTTGGGGTTGATTTTGGCCTCTCCAAACCACAATCATCTAACACTGATTCAGTCAGGAACCTTGGTGAAAATGTTGAAGTCTCTGACTTCATCAGTCAACATATCTACTCCACCACACAGCTTAAGATGGATTTAACTGGTTCCTTTTCCATCATTATAGGTTTGCTTCTCCCAACCCTGCAAGAACCTTTTAGGCAGATTCTTAAGAGGATTCCAGGCACTATGGACTGGAAGGTAGATAGGACTAACAGAATACTGTCCAGCAAGCTTGATGAGATTGTGTCAAAGAGAATGCAAGAAAAGAACAGAGGGTCCAAGGATTTCTTGTCACAGATATTGAGTGCAAGAGAATCCCAGCAAGAGTCGAAGAATGTTTTTTCTCCAGATTATATTAGTGCAGTTACTTATGAGCATCTTCTTGCTGGGTCAGCAACAACAGCATTTACTCTATCTTCGGTTGTCTATCTTGTGGCTGGACATCCAGAGGTGGCAAAGAAGTTGCTTGCTGAGATTGATGGTTTTGGACCACATGATCTGGTGCCAACTGCTCATGATCTCCAGAACAAATTCCCCTACCTTGATCAGGCAAGCTCCCCTGTACTTCACTTTCTTTTGACATTAAAAATGCTAAGTGATCAAGCTTCATCTTCCTTCCTGATGGTTATGAATTCAGGTGATTAAAGAAGCTATGAGATTCTACATTGTTTCCCCATTAGTAGCGAGGGAAACATCAAAAGAAGTGGAGATAGGAGGCTATCTTCTTCCAAAGGTAAGCGTTTCCCTTTTTCCCTTGCCTTTGAACCAAACCATGTACTATTTGTACTTATTTGTCTTGTATTATTTTATGAGCAGGGAACTTGGGTTTGGTTAGCTCTTGGAGTTTTGGCAAAAGATCCCAAGAATTTTCCAGAGCCAGACAAATTCAAGCCAGAAAGATTTGATCCTAATTGCGAGGAAGAGAAACGGAGACATCCTTATGCTCTCATACCTTTTGGAATTGGCCCCCGATCATGTATTGGCCAGAAATTCTCCCTCCAAGAAATAAAACTCTCGCTAATACATCTATACCGGAAATACACCTTTCAACATTCCCCTAGCATGGAAAAACCTTTGCAGCTTGAATACGGTATAGTTCTCAACTTCAAGCATGGTGTAAAGCTTAGAGTCACCATGAGAACTTAAAATGGCTGTCATTCAATTTGCTCCTTGTATTTGAGGCCAAATAAAAAATAAAAAATAAAAACAGTTTGCTCCTTGTATTAATGTGCATAAAGGTTGTAAGCATGTGTAAAACGCTAGAACAAGGCATAAAAATGGCTCTTGATTTCGACAGAATCAACACTAAAGTGAACAAATTTTACAAAATCAATCATATCCTCGTTTCATCAGATACAAAGTGCCCATAAGGGCACTTTTGCTACAGCTTACTGCATCCACAATCTAAATGACTTTGAACAACAAGATGTTGGACTTGAATGACAATCAATGATTCAATCATACAGGCAGTTGCCCCTCTCCCTTTGTTTTGCAGAGCTTTTATCAAATCGCGTTGGTAGGTAGAACGGCCTAGAGAAATTGACTGAAGAAGGATCAGAACCAGCGCTACTTTTGGAATCCCCACTGTAAATGGCCGCTGATCTCTTGAACTGGAATTCATCCATGGACTGTCTTTGGACTCTCTGCGAAACATGGTTCCCAGTTCTTTGTTTTGCCTTGGTAGACTCAGTCAGGTTCATGTAGTTTGGCCTACTATTGCCACTCTCTTCTATTCTATCTGAAGCCAAGATTGTGTTCCCAGAAAAAGGTGTTGTAGAAGTGCAAATAGAAGATGAAGCAGAGCTCTCATTATATGGATATTCAGAGCTTGGGCTTGAAGATGAGCAAGTAGCTTGTCCAACATGGGGAGGTTTTGTAGAAATCCTTGTGGTTACATTGTTCTTCCTTACTTTCACAGGACATGGTTCAGAAAAACCTGAATTCTTTCCATTGAAGGACTCAGCAGATCTCAAATTCTTTGCTACAAGGGACTCCGCGCAATTCTTTGGTGGAGGTGTTGCTTCTGTGGAGTCAGTAAGTGATTGTTCCATCAATCTTGTCTCCCATGGCCTGGCTGCCATCCATCTTTCAAGCCAACTCCATCCCCAACTGTTCTTATCAAACTCGTTATTCTTTAGATAGGAAACTGAACTACTGGTCCAGCTACTTGGAGCAGGATTTGATTTCCATTGCTGTTTGAAACGGAGAAATCACAATGACTTCTGCCATCATTAACTGAAATCTATAACAATTTAAATTATCAGAAAACTTCTATCTTAATACCTTCTGGGCAAGGGAATAAGCTAGTGCTCTTTCTCTTTTGAAGGCTCCTTCTTGCCTCATCTGTATCTTTGCTTTGACATCCTGTAGTGTTCCCTTGCTATCACACCATCCTTCCTGAAAAATAACAAGTTCAGAATACAGAAATGACGTAGGGCTCCTAAAGAAAGAGCAAAGAAACAGGGAAGAAGGTAATGAAAACAGGCTGCAAACTGATACAAGATGATTGCAAATTGGAGTGGAAATGGTCAACAGTACCTCTGCTTGTTTCAAGAGATCAGCCTTGCTTCTGTGTTCATCAAGCATTTTTTGAACTGCCTGCCCTTCTATGGACATTCTCACATGACGAGCCCTGACTCGTGCCTGAACACGAACAAGAGCTTGCATGCACCTAAGTGTAACTGCTGCCTGTTTCCTTACTTGTCGACCACGAACCAAGGCTTGAAGCCTCACAATTCCTTTTAAAGCTCTCAAAGCTCTTCTCGCCTAAACAAAAAAAAAAAAAAAAAAAAGAGCTAATTGTTATGATGGTTCTGTAACAACAAGAACAGAACAAGAAAGACATGAGAAGACAACAAGTTCCAAAAAGGAAAACGGAGATGAAGAAGCATAACCAAAGTGAGCAATAAAAAGCTACTACTTTACAACATTGCTTCCATTTTGCAATAAAGAAAATAATTCAACCTTAGACGTAGATTCTGAAAATGGACTTGCTTCTTCTTGTGAAAGTTTAATTTGTTAGCATAGATTAATTACTTAATATTATCAAAGACTAGGCCTTGGATATGTTTAGGGGGTTGCCTCCAATGAGTTATATAAATCTAGATCTACTACTATTTATTAATTTAGCTTTATTCACTAAAGATCTACTGCTCAAAACTTTTCTTTTGATTTCAAGGAAAATGCAAGTTCAAACCCTACACATTTTTTGGAGGCCTTGAAATGCAATGCTGAGGATAACAGTTTTAGTCTAAGAAAATGAAACCCAAAGCACAAACTGCAGTAATCTCTTTCTTTCACATTCTCTCATTTTCTCAGCTACCAAACTGACAAATGTAAAAAAATGGAAGTAACAGGGGAACATAAATTACCAAGAAGCCACGAAAAGCAGTTTGGATACGTATGGCAGCCCATTCTTGCCTTACAACCCTGAAATCTTTAGGAGGAGCTCGAACTACTGTGGCCACTGCAGCGGTGAAAGCATCAGCTGCTGGGGATGAATCAGACCCATCTGAATCTGCCCTATGCTTCCCTTTGAAGACCTTCCACGAGGAACCTAAGTCCCCCGAAGTGCTCCTAAACAACCTCCATTTCTTGCTCTTGCCACCCACCTTCCCCTGTAGAGTGAAAATGCAAGATCCTTAGCAATATCAGAGCACTGGAAGCACAAAAACCCTAGGTGGGTGGGGAAGAAGTATAGCTTACTTGGTCATCTTTGTCAGGCTTTTTTAGGCCTATGATAGATTTCACCCACTTCCCTGAAGCACCCATTAATGGAGTCCTTCTACTCCAAAATGATGATGATTTTCAGTGTGTTAAACCCCTCAAATCTCTCTCTCAAAAAAAAAGTATTTTTAGAAGAGGGTCCTCAAATGGGACCCCAATGAAGCAGAAAGAACACAACTTGGTGAGAGAAAGAGGAGATTTTGAATTATGTAGAACTTCAATGGAGCTTAAAGGACAAAACTTTCTTGCTGAGAGGGAGAGTTGAAAGCTATAGAACAATGAAAGCACATAGATAGAACTGAATCAGAGAAAAAAAGAATCCCCCTTTGTTAAAAGAAAGAAGAAAGAAGAAAGAAGAAAATGGGAGCAACACAGGACAAACTGAAACTGACAGGGGAAGGGAGACGTGGAACCGTGGGGGTGGAGGAGTTACAAGGCCCAATCCTAAGAACCGTTCGATGTTTGAAATTCAAAACAAAGGAGTCATCTTGATCCCGCCAAATCCCTAGTAGGACAATTTTTACAGAGATGAGATCATGAGACCCCACCACGTTTGGGACAATTAATCATGAAAAGGCACGTCCCCTTTGTTTTTGTACATGAAAAGTTACAGAGAGCAAAACAAGAAAGAGGAAACCCGAAGGGATCTCCCCAATAAAATTGCAAGAAGTTTTGGTTTTGGTGCAGCAGTTTGAATATCTGTGACATTTTTATTTATATTTTCTGCAACAGGATTGGGACTGTTCTTTGGTTGGTGCCAAATACCCATCTGATCTGAATTGGGATGGTTCAAAATTCATTTTCATTGGTAGGATTTCGATTTCAATGGGTTAAAACCCTTTTTTGGTTTCTGAACTATTGTACGGACCCCCGATTTGGTCCCTACTGTTTACTATTTTTATCCCGATTTGGTCAATACTGTTTACCATTTTTACTCCGATTTGGTCCTTCAATTAAAAATCTGGTGACTTGTGCTGTTAACTAACGAGAACACGATGACATGTCATCTAATAATCCACGTGGAAAATAATATAGTCAAAAAGTGATGATGTGGAAAAAATAATAATATAAAAAAAATATTATGAAAAATAAAATTTAATTTTTTTTTCTTTTTTTTCTTTTTTCTTTTTCTTTCTCCTTCTCCTTTCCCTTTCCCTTTCTCCTTCCCCTTTCCCTTCTCTTTCCCCTCGGAACCCAGCAGGCCTGGGTTCCTTCGAACCCACCTAGGCGCTGGGTTCCTTGCGAACCCAGCACGCTTGCCCGAGTTGGGTTCCAAGGAACCCAGGGGTTACGCCTGGGTTCCAACCCACGCTGGAACCCAGGCGTGGGTTCCAAGGAACCCAGCGCCTGGGTTCGAAGGAACCCAAGCACTGGGTTCCCTCGAACCCACGCCTAGGTTCTTCGAACCCAGGGGTAAAAATTTTTTTTTTTTTCTGTGGTTTTGGTGTTTGATGATGATGATGATGATGATGATGAAGAAAGCAAGGCAAGGCAGAGGAAGGAAAAAAAAAGGGCATTGTTGGGTTCAATTCAACCCAGATGCTAGTTTTGTTTGGTACTGGGTTTGTTTGCTGGAGGAAGAAGATGATGGCAAATTCGTAATTTTGGTGGGTCCCACTTTTGTTGGGTTGGGCAAGGAGATGACATGTCACGTTACCATGTCATTATTTATTCATTTATACAACTGACGTGTCTCAAAGGTTTACATGTCATTAAATTGTCTGAGATAACGGTGAGATTTTAACGGAAGGACCAAATCGGGGTAAAAATGGTAAACAGTAGGGACTAAATTAGGGATTTTTTTAGTTTAAGGACTAAATCGGGGGTCCGTACAATAGTTCAAGGACCAAAAAAGGGTTTTAACCATTTCAATTTCAATCCACTAACCTGATAACCATTAAAAAGAAGAAAGAAAGAGGGAAGGTTAAATCTGGGCCAAAGCGCACCAGACTAACTTTTAGTGGCTTGGTTACTGAAGTGTATGTTCTCAATTCATTGGAAATCGATTTGCATTGCCATCCTTTTTTTTTTTTTTTGGTAGAAATTTGCATTGCCATCCTTAATATAAAAAAAATTCAACTAAAAAGGTTGATGGGTCCAATCTACAGGGTTTTTGTGCCGAATTGAATGGAGAGAAAGGGAAAACGGAAAAAGATTTCCTTGGAATTTCAATTTCAATCCATTTGTTTGATATTAGAAAAAAAATAAAAGTTTAAAACTTTATCATTATACAAGGTTGATTAAATTAGCTATTTATATATAATTAATAATTAATAGTTACTATTTAACATTTAATAATTATAATTTATAATTTATAATATTTAATTTATTTGATTAGAGGTAAGAATAGATAGTTATTAAAAAAAAAAAACCAAAAGAAATACACCCCAGTGAAACTCTCCTTCTCCTTGTTCCCAATCTTTTCTTCCTTCTTCTCCTTTTGACTCTTGGTTTTTCTCTTCCTTTATCATGACTTTATTTTATCTTTTTAGTTTTTCTTTTTTCGGCAATAGTTTTTGTCTTATCCCCTTAAGGTTGACTTATGTGAGAATTCATCATTCCGGACATAATCTATGTGGGATTTATTATTGTTTGATATCCTTCTCACTAAAGGTTTAGAGCATAATAGGTCATTGGTATGAGTTGTGTTTCATTATAATGTTTTTGGCAATGACTTACTTCAATAATTATCTTTTTATTTTTTCGGTGTTAGTGGATTATGTTGACTTGCATCTTCATTGTTAGATCAAGAACAGAATTTGGCTATAATATCCATGTATCCATTTGATTGCCTTTAGTGCATGCATTGTACAAGTTAGCTTGTAACCCTTTCAAGTTTTTATTATTGATGAATGACTTTATTTTTATTCTGTATATATTATATGTAGAGAGAGAAAGAATTTATTGACAAACAAATGTTACACATTACATTTAATTATATAAAATTTTAATCATTCATTTTTAAATTTTTAATTATTGAAATTTATTCATATTTATTAAAAATAATTATTTTTTTAACTAAAAAATTGTGACAAATCTTAACCATTGAAAATAAAAAAAAAATAAATTATTAAGATCTTACATAAATGTGATGTAAAACTTTTATGCTAATGAATCCCTTTTTTTTTTTTTTTGTATATATAAGTAAAGATTCACTTATACACCAGTCTCACACCATACTTAAATAAAATTTTAATTATTCATCTTTTCACTTTCAATGATTGATATTTATTCATTTTCAATCATATTTATTAAAGATAATTATTTTTTTGTCTAAAAATTGTAATAAATCACAATCATTAAAAATGAAGAGATTGAATGGTTGAGATTTTATATAAATATGATGTATAAAATTTATATACAAGTAAATCTTTTCTCATATATATGTATATATATATATAAAGTGTGTATGATTTATATATATAAAAATGAATTCACTTATATACAAATTTTACACACTATACTTATGTAAAATCTCAACTATTCATCTTTTTTATTTTTAATGATTGAGATTTATCATGACTTCGTATATGAAAAAATAATTAGTTTTAATAAAAAGTGAATAAATCTTAATTATTGAACATAAACAGATAAATGATTGAGATTTTATATAAATGTAGTATGTAAAATTTATGTGTAAATAAATCATTATTTATATATATACATGAGTATGATTTATGTGTAAGTGAATATCTCCTTTACATATATACATGACATTTCAATGGGTTTAATTGAATTTTATCATTTTATTTAATGACCATGCAAAACTATTTTTTAGTTTGTTTAGGTAAAAACACTTATATTATATTGTTTAAATTGTATTAAATTATAAAATAATTTTTTATTTGATTGATAAGATAAAAACGAAGTCAATATTGATTTGAGTTTGAAGAACACTTGTAACTGTTAACTCTAAAACCTACATCAAACAAGCAAAATTTAACATTCCAAAGACAAATTTGGATTTTGTTGAAAAAAATTTGTCGGCTACGTGCTACCCAAAAGAAAAAGTACCATTCCATCAATCTTTGCTTGTCTTAATAATTGAAGAATTATGAATCAAAACCTTAAAATGTCAATCAGGCATTTAACTGCATTGGACATTATTTATGGAAAAAAAAGGTAAGCAAATTCAACATTTAGACTCAATGGTTTGATTCCAAGTGTTAAGTGTTTGGGTGAAAGTAGTCGGAGTTTTGAGCTTTACCACCGTTGTGAACTCCACCAAAAAGCAACCTGATGGCCGCACGTCTTATCTGAAAATGTGAAATGTTCATTCGATCTGGAGATTAAATCTCAAGTTGCTAATAATTAATTCAAAACTAATTTTTTAATCATTATTTTTTGTAAAAAAAAAAAAAAAAGCAATTTCTTATGGTTAAAGTCATCGCTTTTCAAGGTGCATTAAAAGGCAAAAAGCTGAAAGTGAATTAGCAGGTTAGAAAGGAAAACAAGAACGAGAAGCATTAAAAGCAATTTAAGCAAAGGCATTTAATTAATTACTGACGAGATACTACTTCGAAGTAAGGTTGCTGTGTTGAGTCAGGCGGTCAGATCGAGGTTGAATGCCCGTTGTGCTTCTTCTAGGTTTTTTAATTCAGCACAAAGATTTTCATTTTTCAGGGTTCATGGGGACAAGAAACAACATTGCTTGCTTCTTTTACCAAAAAAAAAAAAACATTGCTTGCTTCAGTCAATAGTCAAAGCACTTAGACCCATGAACCCTCACATTATCCATGGATTGCCTCACATGCTCCGTTCTTTTTAACAAGAACCTGTAAAAACAATGGGGAGGCTTCAAAAGTTGAAGAACAATAATTTATTCATTATCTC